CGTTGGTCAAAGTAAAGTCTAAACCATTTTCCTCGTGGGATCGATCCCAACCTACAAGTTGGGTTCTTTACTTGATAACGATCGCTTATGCTTCTGAAAGGAGGTGTAATTTGAGCGTATCAGCTTCACACAATACTTCTTTGGATTTGTGGTCTTCATCTTGAAAGCAATATAATTATCAGAATTGTTCTTCCTGATATCATTGTTGCACTGCAACAGTACCACACTATCTAGATTCTACTTGTGTGATTACACTAAATTTATTGTTGTATCGTTTCTAAAGTTTTAGCAGTAAATATTCAAATTATTGATCGTGAGGTGCTCACTTGAATTTGGGGCATGTATTATGGAGGATAAGAAGTTGATTGACTATATCCCAGCACAATGAATCCAAAGAGATGATTCCTTATATTGTTAATTACTACTATGAAAATACATCAAGTTCAGATTTTCTTTTTGAGGATCAACATCATTTGACTTCAGTTATTGGACATGAACATCAAGGTTCTGCGCGTACTCATGTTGTTATATAGGGTATTCTTATTAAAAAAATTATGTTCGTAGTTGTGAATTCTTGTGAGTACGACTAGCTTAATGGACTTGTGAGAAAAGAAGACTTAAAAGACCTACTTTATGAGTTCTCTTGTGAGTTGTGATTATGTTTTTTGGTTCCTAAGCCAAGCATGGCAAGGCACTCTCCAAAGAGAAGATAGCCTTCTAACAATAGTTTGAATGACTTTGAAGTGTTTGGTTGTGCACATAATTTCTTATTTCTTATCAACAATAAAATATATTGTGTGATTTGGTTCTGTACGTAATTTTTTTTTTCTAAACAAATTTATTTTGTACGTTTTACAGGATTTGGAGATCCGTTTACAAGTCAAGCTGCAAGTTGGAATACTTTGTAAAAATTGACAAATTCCTTATCTTTTTTAGGGGTTTTTTGGCAACACATTATATTATATTATAGTTAGAAATGTTAGTTTTTTTGGTGAATGAGTTGTGTAATAGTCTTGTGAGTATATTTCTGTAAACAATATTGTTTGTGGGATGTCGATCAATACTTTTAATTAAAATTATCTAGATGCATTTAGTTATCTATATTATCTAAGAGAGCCTTGACAGGAACAAGTAAGTGTTATTTATGTGCCACATTTTCTGGCCATAAATCATCTTTAATATAAGAAAATAAATAAATAATTTTTGAATACAGCTTTAGGGACCAACAGTGTGTGAGTCCTTAAAACTATTTAAGGACTAGATTTTTTGGTCGTGATAACCTTTTAAGGACTAGAGAAGTTCGTCGTGAAATTTAAGGTGCCAATTGATTGTTATATTTAAGGACCAGAATTATGGTCTCTAAAAGAGTTTTAGGGACTAGAACATTATCTGGTTGCGAAATAGATTTAAGGACTAACACCTAAATCTCATCCCTATTGACCTTTAGCGACGGAACCTATAAGGACGGTTGACGACCAGATTTTACTCGTCGCTAGTGACCTTTAGAGACCAGAATTAGACCTTTTGGGACCATATTTCTCGTCCTTAGTGACCCTTTTTCTTGTAGTAGAAATTGAGGATTTAGAGATAATCTTCTAGGGTTGATAATATGTGTAGTAATTGCTTGAGAGTAAAAGCATGTAGACATGAATTGAATTGGATTAAAGTATATATGATGGATCATTATTAGTACTGCTTGAGATTTAACCTTTATGATGATATATGACTAGAATTGCTTAAGAATGAAAAATGTGATTAGAATGTCTTGTAATCTAGGCCTATGTGAGGATGGTAAGAAGTAAAGCTTTGAGATTAAGGCTTGTAGTGATGTGTGTTGATTCCTATGGCTTTGAGAGTAAAGTGAATGTATTGAATTACGAATGTTAAGGCTTTGAGAGTGAAGCTAATATGTATGTTGGTTTGTATATGGTATTCTTGTGGAAGGACTTTACCCACATGACTAATATCATGAATGTATGAGATTATGCATGTTCTTATGGAATCTATGTAAATGCCTTAAGTACACTTTGAGAGTGA